CCATAACCAGGGACCCAAATGACTAGCCACATGTGGGATCAGTCCAGTGGCTGGGTGTAGCTTGGGTGCCTGATCCTTTCCAACGGTTCGGTGCCCGGCCTCTGGAGTTCTGTGGGCAGTTAGGCCCTGTTAGCTGTTGGAGCTGTTGGAGGTCCCCTAGTGGCTTTACCAACAGGATTGCATAAGAGGATGACTGGGCAATGGGCCTGGGTACCAGGTGTTTGGAAGGGTCTACACTTGGCTGTATCTAGCAGGGGGAGGTTTGTTTGTTTGTTTGTTTGTTTGCCTCACCCCTTGGCATTGTTATAAAAAGCCTTTTGAATAAAGTTCTGGGCTGGTGGGTTTTGACCCAGGCCCTCCTGAGGCTGTCCTGTGTCTCTGTCTTTCCTCTCCTTGTCGTCGTCTAGGTCTCTCTTTCTATCTAAATATTTCCCACTTCTCCCTGATCAAGAGTACCCTGGTTGTAAAAGTGGGGGCTGGTCCCCCACCGTTAGCACGGAAGGGGCACACAGCTGGTGTAGAGCTGGACTGTGGCCCAGTGGGGGTGTGAATGGGGACGTGGAGAAGGTCCGGTGAGGGTGGAAGACTGAGGTAGCCTTGTCAGGCAGAACCACCCTAAGTAGCACTGGGTAGTGATGGTGGTGAGTGGGACCCACCGAGGCAGGAAGCCCAGGACAGGAAGAGGCTACACCCAGAGAGACAGGGGCCATCCAGATGAGTGGGCATGTGGAGTTAGGAAAATCAGGAGCAGGTATACAGCTCCTGATTGGAGAGAGCCCATGGGGAGTGGGCAACTGGTGGGGGGAAGTGGAGTGAACTTCCAGGCTTGAGGCAGCGTGGGGCAGTCTGCACCCCTAAGGATTAGCCACGGTCACCTCTAGTTTTCCTTATCTCACAGTTCTCCAGCACCCCACCCCTTCCTGGACCTTTCACAGTGCCGCAAACCCTGGGATGCTGTCCTGCCCACCACACTCTCAACCTCCACCTCCTTTGAGGCTGCTTGGGTAAGGGCAGGAGACCCACTCCTGGGAACCCCAGCCTCTGCCGGAGAAGGCTGCCACAGGAAGTGCCTCCCAGCAGGGCACACCCACAAACGAAGCTACCCTACCTCCACCTCAGCAGCTTCCTGGGGCACCAGAGGCCTTGGCTGGGGAAGTGGGAGGGCAGAGACAGAGCAGGGGAGACAGGGCTAGGGGGGGACAGGGCAGAGCCGAGGGTCAAGCTGGCTCCACCTTGCCAGCTTGCCCAACAAACTTCTGGCTGCCTCTCCCTCTTGGGTTTGTCCCCTGGCCACCTATATCAACAGCTGGCACTTGGGCAGGTACCATGCTAGGCACTTTCTCCAGGTGGAAAAATCATAGCTATCTTCATGACAGCTCTAGTGAGTACATGCTATGCAAGTCCCAGTTCACCCACGTCTCTGGGGGAACCTAAGAAATATCCCAGGGACCTCACAGGCTGGCCTCAGGGCCAAAGTCTTCACCTCCCTTCCAGGTCCGGGCACCTCGGGGCCATGCCTATGCAATGGCTGCTGATCAAAAGACTCATGGATGCTGGGGCGGGACCTAAATTCTGGCCATCAATGGGAACGTTTATGAAGAGGGCCCTTCAGGTAGAGAAGGACAGGAAAGGCTGTAGGGGACGCCTATCACTGTAAACCCAGCCCCCCCTCAGGCCAGGCAGTGTCCCATTAGCTCTGGTATCTATACATATCAAGCAACCACTTGTGGACAGACTCCGAGAGGAAGCAGAGAAATATGGACCCGAAAGAGTCAGGTGACAGACGCAGTCAGCCAGGACAGTCCAGGGAGGAAGGTTCTCGCTCCTCTCTCTCTGTGTGTCCTTATCTATCAACCACACCAGCACCAGCTCTTAGTGAAGCCTGGACAGAGTACAAGGCTGGGGTCACTGCCCTGGAAGGACAGGCACCCTATTTTCCTGAGGGCTCCTGCAGAACCCTACTGGCTGGCTGTAGGTGCTGTTACCTGGTGCCTGTGGGTGAACATAACTAGAACCCGAAGGCTGCTGAGCCTCAGGTACGTTCCGTGACTGGTGACTGGCTTTGGACTGGGTAACTTGCAGGAGCCTGCCCTAGCGTTTTTTACCTCCCTCCTCAGGACTGAGGTCCTGCACTCACAACGTGGGACAGATGCCTCTGGGACGGCGGGCACCCAAGGGAGCAGCACTGTAGAGGACGGGAAATTTGAGCAGAGGGGCTGAGGACACTAGGTTGTCAGGAAAGGTGGGTACCGTTGTAAGGACTGAGGGAGAGCCATGGCGCACACGGCCCAGTGAGTCTCACATGTGTGGGACTGGCTTTAGGGCTCCACTACGGGCAAGGAACTTGGGGTCCCGGGCTGGATCAATGAGAGAACCCCTAATGGACTGTGCCTTAACAGAGAGTCCTCTCAGCCTTGGCTGGACACCTACTATATAACTCAGAACCCACATGGCAGAAAGGCCTTGGTTGACAGGACTGTTGAGGGCCCTCTGCTGGGAGGCCTCCTTAGACTGTCCGGTCTGAATGGACTCTAGGTCTCGTGGGGGTTCTCTCCTTACTCCCTCCAGAAGAATACAGATGGCCTCATTGGGGCTCTCCCTCAACCAATGGGGTAGCACCCTGCTGTCCGACCAGAAATGGGGATCACCTCTGTCCTAAGGGAGCATTGTGGCCTCCCTCGACTACATGGATTTCACCAGGGTCAGTTGGCCTTTCCTGCCCTGCCTGGTGCTTCCAGAAGTGGGGTTCTGTGCCTGAAAAGCTACCGGCACCCTTGTATGAGTGATGTTACAGGCTTGGGTCGAGACTGGGTCGCTTCTAGGCTCTAAACTGGGACCTTCGTAGTCAAAATACCACAGGCCGAGCAAAGAGTAGGTAGGTCCCCAGAAAGAGCTGAGAGGCTTGGAGACTGACATGTGCCCAGGGCTTCAAGTCTCTCTGTGTGTTGTATCTGCTGGATTTTTGTGTGGTCCCTGGCTCTGGCTCACAACTCTGAGGTTGATAATGGACCTGTAGGCATCTAAGGGATGTGGCCTCTGTGGTCAGGGCACAGACTCTCTCCTGGAGAGTTCCTGGTTCTAACAGCTAGAGTGGCGTGTGCGGTCTCAATCCTGCACCTCCACTGTGGAGCTGACGATGAGAAGCCACTGCCAGAGGGATTTATGGCCCTCGGCACCCACAGGGAAAGGAAGTTCTCTTGGCCTGAGAATCAGCCTGCTCCAGATGTGTACAGAGCACAGGAAGCCAGGGTGGGAGGCAAGGTAGGAAGTGGGGGAGGGGCAGAGCTACTCCCTCACCTGCTGCCTGAGGGGTGAACCCCCTGCCTCCAGCATTCTCACTCCCCACACAAACCCCATCCGCAGTGGCTGGAAGAAATCTGCATGGTCATCTTGGCAGTCACGTGACTCCAGGGGACTCTGAATACTCCGTGCCTTGGCCCTGTCTTCTCTTACATCATCACACCCTCACCTTGGCCCTCTGGTGGAGAGATGGTCAGCACTGGGGTCAAAGGCACAGTCTAAGCAGCCAGGTGGCCCAGGATCTGCTCTGTCATGGAATTTCCCGTCCCTCATCTTCCTCTCCCACTGCCAGATGCTGCCCTTGGCCTATCCCCCCCCAACCCCCACCCCGCCAATCTTGGGACCTCAGAGGGCCCAAGCCACCTCCGGACTTAGAATCTCCCACGACAGTATGCTGACACTCCCTCACTGAGGCCAACACTTGACTCCGTTCTGCCTCCCCTTCCCATCAATCTGGCTTTCCACACATGGCCTGGCTCTGAATGTGATGCCCACGTGTGCTCCAACAAGCATGAGACGAAACAGGGAGGGTCACCTCTGCTATCCTCCAGACCTTGCATCTTCTCACACCCCCTGGGAGCTGTCCTGCCTCACGGGGTTAGCTACCAGCTAGGGTCTGCAGTCCTAGAGCATCCTAACTCTCTTCACAGGGGCCTATTTCAGAGAGAAGTACAGGGGATTCATGTGCTCTCCAGCTGGGGCCTCCACATTAGGATTACAAAAGGAGGTGACCTCTCTACAACCTTCAGGCTCTGACCTCCAGGACCCATGTGGCCATGATCCCTAATGGTGCTCAGCAATGTGGGGTGATGAGGGCGTCTCAGTCTCTTCCTCTGAGGAATAGGGACTCCTCTACCCAACCATACAGTTACCAAGGCTGTGTGAGCCTGACAGTGCCAGGGAGCAGGTTGTGACAATCCTGGCGGCTGTGGCTGTGCTCAGGAGGTGCAGTCAGCTGGCACAGCCCACATGCCAGCAACCTAGAACCAGGGGACCCACTGACGGGCAGGAATGCAGAGGCGGAACCCCATGTCATGTCTACACTCTGCTGTCAAGAGTGGTCACACTCTCCTTCCCTTCCCTTTCTCCTTGGGCCGGTCTGAGAGCAGCCCAGCCAGCAAGCCCCCCCCCCCCCCCCCCCCGACACTCCAAGAGCAAGGTCAGAAGACCATGCTGCACAGAACCCCCTCTCGCCAGGGTCCCAGTGGCCACTGAGTCTCTGTGGCTGAACCTGGGAGCCTAATGTGCATGTTGGTTTCTAAGTGAGTGGAGGAGGCTTATGTTCTCAGGCCACTAGACATGGGTGCTGGGTCCTTTGCTAGAATATACAAAGAAATAAACGTGTTTGATGGAGGGCAAAAAAAAAAAAAATCTTAAAAAGGAAAATAATGAGTTCGCATCTGTGGTGGAGCCTCCCCACATTCACATACAACACATGGAGACCCCACACCACACAGACGGACATCCTCATGCTCACACGCACCCACATGCTAGCACATAGATAGGCTCACACAGCAGTACACCTCCCCGCCAGCACCCATACACTCACACAGCAGTACCCAGGCTCTCATACTCCCCAAAGCTGGCACGTGCACACAAGACCACACACCAGTACCCTCCCCAGGCCAGCGTTCCATTCACAGTCGCCCACACACCCGACAGGGTAAAGGAGGACAAAGGAAGTGGAAGAAAAGTGTTACCCATGAGGAGGCGCCGTTTCACCCGCTTGTCCACATCAGCTACTGACGTGGCATTGAACTGAGAGCGCTCAATTGCAGCCTCATCCTTCTCTAGAACACAAGTAAGGGACAAACACGGAGCCGGTGGTTAATGAGAGCCCACTTCCCGCGGCCCAAGACAGTCAGCCTCTTGGCGTGGCGGCGCACACAAAGCCAACACAGCATGCCGGGCCAGCACGGTGCCCTCGCCAAGGGCTAATCCCAGGAACTTTCAGGCGGGTGTGCTCAGGGTGAAGCAGAGAGGAAGCACGGTGGGAGGGTGGGAGGGAGGGCATGCAGACAAGAAAGGTGGCCACAGCGCGACCTGGACACAGTGGGGGCCGGGGGGCGGGAGGGGGGATGCAGGGTCTGTGTGCAGCCCAGCAGGGTAGGTGGCTAAGGTCAGCAGGAAGCCTGTGTGGAGGACACAGAGGCAGACAGCATGCCGCAGGCTCACAGAGAGAAGCGGTTACAGGTCCCTCAAGCCGCAGGGACAGGACAAAGCACAGGACAAGGGGGTAGATTTGCGAGGTCTAGTGATGGATACACCCGGGGACAGCAGATGCCCTGTTACAAGGATGCTGCCACTCATGCAAAATTAAGAACAAAACTGACAGAGAAACATACACATACACACACACACACAGAGAACACTGGATCCCACTGGACAGACAGGAAGTCCAGGGGATCGGGGCAGCACTGGTTGCCTGCTTGTCTAGAGGACCAGAGCTAAGCATTCAAGTGTTCAACAGGGGGATGGGGGGGTGGGGGGGGGGCTGTGGAGAAGGGTCAGTCATTTTAGGAGCGTGCAGGAGGGCGAGATGGCACGGGCCAGCAGGGGAGCCTCCAGCCACTGGGCACAAAGCTGTGCCAAGACGCTCCGCTGGGGCCGGGTGACCGAGAACAAAGCAGGACAGGAGGGTTTCTCATCCTGGTGGCCAGGAGTTGAAGTCACAGTGGCTGGAGCTGGGTAGGGGGGATAGTTTCTAACGAGGGGGGACTGACAGGAAGTGTGGGCTTGGGGGAAAAGAGATCCAAGCAGGGACTGTCACATGCAGCAGACATTAAAAAAAAAATTATAAAAATCAGATGAGAAAGGATGAGCGAGGAGGACACAGACAAGGAGGGTCAGACCCAGGCTAGGGTTCATATGCCCGGCAGTTGTCTGTGCTGGTCCAGCGGCTGCGGGCGGGGCAGGCTCGACTGGACATGGGAGACTTGAACAGACAAGACAGAGGGAAGGCCAGAGTGGCTCGGAGAGCTCTGGGCAGGAGGACAGCGGAAGGAGAGAGGTCAGAGGACAGAAAGTTCTAGATGGGATCAGGCTGCAATAGAGACACTGGTCTGAGACCTGGTTTGGCTTCTAATTAATTAATTAATTAATTTTTTTGTGTGTGATTGGTTGGTTTGGTTTTTTTGGCTTTTTGGCTCTGAAAGATGATTAATGAGTGTCAGTTATCAGACAAGACAGGCAATCAGGGACCATCACGAGAGAAGCAGCGGGAATGAGGTTAAAATGAAATTAAAAAAAAAAATAATGGCTGTCTGAGAGAGGAGGCCACACGGAGGAGGGGAGGGTCCCGCTGCGCGGCCCAGCACCCGGCTTTCCAAGACACCAAGGAGCAGTGACAGGGGACAGGAAAAGACAGCAGCTAACACGTGTGCGTACATGGGTTCACCAAACACCTTTCTGTCACTCGAAAGCCCCTCAAGAATCACCCCTCAAGTTGATCCTAAGAAACGGAGCCTTTTCAAAGACATCAGTGAGGGTGATCCCACCAACTCACGCTGGGTCCTAGCAAGTAGACCCTTGGCTCCAAAGTCTGAAATTCCTTTTTCTTACTTAAAAAAAAAATCTTGCTGTTGTTTTTGAACAGGAGGGAAAAAAAACATATTAGTAATTACTGCATAAAATAACTACAAATGTTCAAGCTGCCCTTGGGAACACGGGCCTGGATGAAGGAGGTTGCTGAGTTTCAATCAGGATTCCATGGAGCAAGCAGGTGTTGGGACAGGAGCATTGCTGAGGGAGGAAGGACTTCAGGTGGGTGAGGAAGTCCTAAGGAGAGCCCTCCAGCTCAGAAGGAGAAGCAGTCCCAAGCACGCCCGCCCATCTGCCCGCCCGCCCACTCCCACCCCACGCAGGGTGAACACCTCCACCCTCACAGTGAGCCACGTGTTAGGAAACTCACTTTCCGTGTGTCTGTGAACAGCGCCCAGACCTACAGTGCTCACACAGACTCAGGGAGGCTGCCAAGAGTTTTTCCACATTAGAAAAATACCAGTGCTTTAGGGACAGACGATGTCCCCAAGCTGAAGCGCACGGCTGTGCTGAGGACAAGCAGCAACCCTGCTAGGGACACCCAACCCTAGAGAACTTTGTCCCAGGGTACTGAGGGACCCAGGACAAATTCTCACAGAAGCTGGCCCTTGGGATGCCTGCCACACCCATCGGCCTTATGGGTGATCCTTCTTCTTGTCTCCCTTCTGTTTCCTCCAAGACAGGGGGACCACACAGGGTACCCGCAGGGGCAGTGTGGCAGTAACAGCACCTACTTACCAATGCACGTCCGACCATCCGCATGCAGGGCGTACTTCTGGTGGCAACCACACATGGGGCCCGTGTCTGTGTCCTCACAGCTGTGCTGACAGCCTCCATTTCCATAGTTACAGGTTACTAGTTAGTCCCAAAGTGTACACACGTGTGTATAAACAGAACAACAGAAACCGTTAGTTTACTGGAACTGGTTATTTTTTTGGGGGGTGGGGGGGCAGGGGGAGCAAGAGCCCGAGGTGGCCAGGGAACAGTCCTTTGAGGACTGAAGGCAGCAGACTTGCATCTCTGTCAAGGAGTCCCTCCAGGGTACCAGTTAGAAAGGCTAGTCTCTAGAGGTGGGCCCAAGAGTGGACTCTGAGCTTCACATAACTAATGCATGAAGAGAGTGGAGGGTCGGAAAAAAGGGAGAGGTGGGAAAAGCTAGACACACATGCAAGACGCCTTAGCCCTCTCAGTCCCATTGGGACCCATGCCTGCTCACGCCAAGACATGTGCGGGAGATGACAGGCGCGGTTCAAAGAACCATTTGTTTTCTTAATTCCTGCACAGCTCTATCCACTGCCTGTGTCTTGGTACAGGTGGACGCTACTCTCTGTGGGTCCTTGTTGTGAGCTCTCTCCGCCTTGCTCCCTCACAGCACAGACCGTGGAGCTCAGCTACCTATCCCCAGTAGACAGAACTTAAGCAAGTTCATGTCATCTGGGGTGTATGCTAAGAACCGCCTACATCGTGTGGCTGCTGGTGCCTATGGCTGGAGGATCTAGGGTCCTTCGGTCCGGACGCTCCATGGAAGCAGCAGCAAGCTGCATCCATGGGAAAGGGACCGAGCAAGAAGGAGCCGGTCTGCGGTAGGAAACTGATGTTCAAGTTTATTTACACGAAGATGGTCCACTGTCACTGTACAGGGGGAGGGAGACGGCCAGAAGAGGATGAGGATCTGAGTCAGCTCTCTCGCAGGGGCCCTTGGAGACTCCACTTTATCATGCAACGAGCTGCTGGCCAAGCTAGCTGTCGCCTGAATGCCCGGACAGCATGTCTTCATGGAGACCTTGACTGGTTTTTCATAGTCTATCTACTACACACATTATTTACTTATCAAAGTCAGTCTGAGGCCAGACCTGGTTAGAGGAGCACCGAATTCCAGATCTGAGAGCTTGAATTAATCATGTCCTTCTAAGCAGATCCATTCAGACAGCTGGCAAGGGAGGGAAATCCGTGGAGGTGAGCACAGGACGAGAATGGCCAGCATCTATCTGTCATCTCACACACTGTCTTCAGCAGTGTCCTCCTCTTGACCCAACGGCCAGGGCAGTCAGATGGCCCACAGGCTCTCCTCCCTGAAGCCTGTCCTATGCATACTCAGGGATGGTGGTGATAGGCAGCAAGCTGGTGTTCTCCAGTCTAGTAGTGTTCCTTCTTGGGGACAGAAGCCCAGGGCTCAGGAGCAGGGCCTGCGTAGGTCCCAGGGGATGGGTCAATCCCCAACTGGACATTTTCTTTCCTTATTGTGGAGAATCCTCTTCAGAGTGGGCACAGGGGCATCTTGGAAAGAGGCAATGAGAATGTCACAGTTCCTCCCACGCTCTGCATGCTGGGCTCTGGGAAGGTCAAGATGGATAAAGGAATATCCTCACTCCTGGAAAGGGCCCTAGACTCTGATGGGATGAGGGATGGGGGTGCAGAGCCATGTAGTCTCTCCCCACCAGTCTAGAGATTGCTGGGCTAGCCTGGGCTCCTGACCAACTCTATGGTCCAAGGTTCCTAAATACAAGTGAGCTTGGGGTCCATGTAGGTCTCCCCTGTCCTTTACACAGATCCTCACCTTCTACTTTGTTTGAGGCAGGGGTCTCTTAATGTTTGCCACTGTGTACACCAGGCTAGCTGACCTGCGAGTTTCCAGGCATTCTCCTGCCCCCACCTCACTACAGAAACACTGGGATCACACACACACACACACACACACACACACACACACACACACACACACACACACACACACACCTGCGTCTAGGTTTACATGGGATCAGGGGATTTGGCCTGCCAAGCCATCATTAACCATGCCTAGCAAAACACATAGAAAGAACCAAAGCCAGACCTCCTGAGTGCCACCTTCCAGGGAAGCTATAGGGCTTTCCCCAACTCCTTGGCCTTAGGCAACAGAATTAGGCTTTCTATACCTTGTCAGGGAGGGTAGGGCTATGGATTTATGGACCAGCAAATGTCCCTAGGCTGTGCTTAGCCCTTTCCTGACCCCGTTGGTGACTAGGGTAGGGATCTTAGCTTTCTATAGACTCTGGCTTGTCCCATGTCCTTCCAGCCAAGTCTGAAACCCAGAGGAGTTTTGTGGGTAAACTCTCCTGTGGCACTTGTCCCAGATGGGTTATAGTGGTAAGTTGGCCCAGTGAGGTCACTGGAAGCCCTCTTGCTAGTGTCTGCATGGAGCAAGTCTCTGGAGACCATGCTTGTCTGTCACCTGTGCCTGGCTCCTGTCCTCGCCCGGCGCAAGGACTAGGAGAATTATAGTCAGCCCCATCTGCTCCGAAAGTGGCCAGGTAGCAAGTGTTTTCTCTGAAGTTGGAAGAATCCATCTGTGGGGCCAGGCTAGGGCCTAGGCGATCTCTGTCCTGCCTTGGTGACCACTGGCATGCATGTCCCATGGAAAAGACCTGGCAGTAATGAGAAAGATTGGCCCACATCCTGACCATGGCCAGATGTTGTAGCATGTTATCTTTGAATATAGCGGCAACTGTCATCTTTATCTGAACAGATGTATGCAATTCTGCCCCAGATGTGGTCAGAGGTGGTGATAGAATACAGAGAATGTGGAAGGCTGACGGATGAGGTGGGAGATCCTGTCTGCAGCGGCGGGGAAAGGAATCATCCATGCTGGCACGAGACTTTCTGGTGGTGTGGTTGCTTCGAGGTCATTCGTGCTTTGTAAATAAGCCCAGTAAACTCATTGGTTTCCCCAGGTTGGACTGGGGTGAAATCATACCCAGGTCTGTCACTGTCTAGGGTGAGTAGGCCCTTGTTCCCATCTCCCTAGGAAAAGTTCACAAAACACTCGGATGAAGAAGGTGCCTCCACTTTGGGAGTCGGGTAGATCGCCTAGAGGGTTGGAGCATGAGCCCCTGGGGGCAGGGACAACAGCAGATGCTCATGGGTCCCCAGGGTCTTGGCAACTGTTCAGGGAAGATGAGCTGAGAGAATCACAGTGGTTGGGGATGGTGGTCCAGCTGTCTTCTGTCCAGAATGGAGGAATAGAGGAAAGCTGAGGCCTTTATAGTGGCGTTGGTCAAGAACCACAGACGCTCAGGCAGGTGGAAGCACATTCTCCAAGAGTCAGAAGCAGGTTCCTCCGGGCATGGCATGTTTCTGCAACACCACAGTGTGAGACTGATGAAGCTGTGGCCGGGCTGAGTTGGAAGAACTCTCTCTGTTCTTGGCAGACCCAGAAGGAATAAAATTTATCCTGGGTGTCTCCACGACCTGTGAGCACAGCCTGCAGCCTGCTGCCTTCTCACAAAGCAGTTGGCAGGGTGTGTTGGGTTGGATGCTCTGGAAACCGGTGAATGTCTTAAGCTCTGTTTCCTTTCCCAATTCCATTCCTCCTCATGACCTGGATGCCCATGATGAGAGGTTGGACAAGGGACGGGTGTGATGTCATATGACTTTAATCCTAGCACTTTGGGAGGCAGAGGCAGAGGCAGATAGATTTCTGTGATTCCAAGGCCAGCCTGGTCTACAGAGAAAGTTCCAGGACACAGCGAAACCTTTTCCCTTACCCCAAATAAAAAGAGGCTGTACTATGTTGAGTCCTGGGGCAGATATCTCCAGGCCAGCAAGCAGGCTTTGAAATGGTACCTCTGGACTCTGTCTTCTTCAGACCAGATATGGGGCTCATGGTTTGTAATCGGTCCTACGGAGGTCACTAAGTTCTGTTTATTTTATTTTATTTTAGACAGGCTCTTATGGTAGCACAGGCTGGCCTCAAACTATCTACATAGCTGAGGTTGACTTTGAACTCCCCCTCCCGTCTCAACCTCCCAAATGCTATAATTACAGGTGTGGATCACCACACCTGGTCTATTCAGTGCTGGGGATGGAACCCAGGGCTCTGGGCCAGGCAAGTGCTCTTTTTTTTGGGGGGGGGGGAGTTTGAGACAGGATTTCTCTGTGTAGTTTTGGGCCTTTTCTGGAACTCCCTCTGTAGTCCACGCTGGCCTCGAACTCACAGAGATCCACCTGCCTCTGCCTCTTAAGTGCTGGGATTAAAGGTGTGCGCCACCACGCCCGGCTATGGCGAGTGCTCTTTTACCCGAACTATATCCTCACCCTGGGTTCCGACTTTTGAACCTGGGAAAATGTCATCACTGGGTTCACCCCATCCCGTCCACCCTCTCCCTCCCGTCCACTCTCCCTTGGTTCTTTACACTCTTCTGTCACCTAGGGCCTCTCGGGCTGACAGACAAAGCGGGGCTTTTAGACCTCAGAGCTGTAACCCTCCATCCCCTCAGGAGAGTGTGAGTTCAGGGCTCTACAGATGGGCCAAGCCGGTGCCTGGGGCTGTGTTGACATGTGTTGACATGTATTGACATATGTGTGTCATACCAGGTATAGAAAATTCCAAGCTGGGAGGTCAGGACCCATCCCTCCAGCTCCCCAATTCCCCTCAGCAGACTCCGTCCTCCCCGCCCCCCACCCCACCCCAGGGTGCTGAGATCCCTCCCTCACCCTGGGCAGACCCGCCACAAAGCAATGGTAGGAGACGCATGGGGGTGTCTGACCCATTTGCCTCCATCTACCTACGTGTGCAGTCCTTCTGGTTTGGGGCAAGGTCAAAGCCGGGCCTGCAGTCACAGGCGACCCCACCTTTGGGCGTCTCCCGGCAGATGTGGGCACAGCCATGGTCTTTGTTCATGCAGTTCATACCCTCTGGGAAGAGAGACAGACAAGACAGAGGTTGGAGGCCCGTGAGAGGAGACGGGAGAAGGAAACCTCGGGCTGTGGAGACATGACTAGTGGAGCGTCCCAATCCAGTGGTGGGTGTGTTTAGTCAGCCACGGCAGGCACCACTCCCATGTACACGCGCATGTGTGTGCACACGCGCATGTGTGCACACACACACACACACACACTCAGCCACAGGTGCATTCTGCCCCAGTGCCTCAGGGCCCTGAAGGTACAGTCTAAATGACAGGGGGCACAGCTCCCGCCTGACAGCAGATTGGAGAGTTAGCTGTGTAGCACTGCCCTCCGTCCGGGCCATCTGGATTCTCTCCTTAGCCACCAATGGCTCCAGGATACCTTCGTATCCACTCAGTAAACTCCATCTCCTCCCCCGTTTTCCTGGAGTGGCTTGAACCTCCTTCTGATGACCCTAGTTGATGTTTATCTTCTTGGTGATTCGTGAGGAGTTTCCAGAATTTATGAGGTCAGGGGTCAAGTGAGAGGTTGTAGGTCACAAGTCCATCAAGAGGCCGGAGCAGATCAAAGGCCCGAGAGGCACTGTGTGCTGCACAGTAGTTCTGGGACCTGATGTCACCCCTGTCTGAAAGAGCATGACAAGTGAAGCTGTCTGGGAGAGGGGAAGACACCCCTGAGGCGGTGACCACATGAGATCACCTCTCTTCCTCAGGGGGCCACACTGGATCTCTAGGGAAAGAGTGTAACTGTGACCCTGTGTGCTGTACATGGACCCTCAGTAACATAGGACATGTTTAAAAGGCTAAGTCTCTGGCAGTTCTAATATAGACCAAAAATATCTTGGGCTGGTTGTGTGACTCAGTGGACTTCGGCTAGCATGCGGGCAGCCATGGGTTCCTCCCCAGCACCATAAAAAAGGAAAAAGAAAGAAATGGCAGTCTAAAGTTAATTCACAAGTGGAAATGAAAGACGGCTTTGCCCAGCACCAGGCTTCACCTGATCACGCTCTTCTTTCCCCCTACCCTTCAATTTGCTCATTAATTCAAGCCAAGCTGCCATACCAATGCAGAGCATCACCAACTGAGCCATGGGCAGACAGTTAAGGCACCCAAGGCATTGAAGGAAGCGCCCACCACCCACTCCCTCTCTTCTCAATTTCCAACAGCACCTGAGCCCGGGAGCAGTGACAGAGTTGCGATAACCGCTGTCCAATAGTCACCAGGAGGGAGCTAACCTGTGGCCACAGCCTATTTCTGTACAAACACCTCAGCTGGTTACCAGTAACCAGGGTTGCCACTATGAGCCCACCCGGCACCCTGGCACATAGCTTCATTCACAGAGTCCCTGTGAAGAAAGACAAGCAGACGTGGGAATGAGTCTGGCTTCCTCATAAGCTGTGTGCCTTGGAGACCACTCCCCCCCACCCCCAGACGGTTTCTCTGTGTAGCTTTGCGCCTTTCCTGGAACTCACTTGGTAGCCCAGGCTGGCCTTGAACTCACAGAGATCCGCCTGGCTCTGCCTCCCGAGTGCTGGGATTAAAGGCGTGTGCCACCACCGCCCAGCGGAGACCACTCTTTTAACTTCTCCAAGCCTCACCTGTAAACATGCACAAGACCCTTAGCCTTGAGGATTAGGTGGAAACATTCCCTGAAGCCACATCCAGGAAGATGCCAGGTACTTGGCATGCATTCAACAAGCCAAGTACCTCTGTGGACCCTGGCTCCTGATGGCAGGGCCTGTTCCTGCAGATCTGAGGGAGGCATCTCCCCAGTGGGTGCTGGCTGGTAGAGCACTCTTCAGAGGTGGCTTCAGGATAGGAGCTTCCTTGGCCATCCGAACACACTTAGTTTCCTGGGACACCCTGCCTGTCTAGAGTCTGACTGCCAAGCAGCCCCCTGGACTCAGAATGGGAACCGTCGGTGGGCAGCCCAGAGCCGAGGCCACGCTTTTCTCCCTACTTAATGTGGCCACTTCTTTGGCTCTCTAGTGTTTCAGCTGTGATCCGACCTTTGGTCCCCTGTCCCCTGTACATTCTCCCAAGGTCCACAATCCCAAACTGTCTGCTGTATCCCCTGACTTCTTCCTGGTTCCTTCCTCTTGTCTTCCATAAATGACTTCCTAAGACCATCTCTAATTCTATCAATTCCATAACCCGCCCTGATCCCCAGGCTATCCTCTAGGCCACACTGATTTCCCAGAGCTGCCTCATATTGCCTCAGATCAATGCCCTAAAGTACCTGCTTTTTCTTCCTAGGCATGGAAGAGCCCATGGGCCCTGTTTAACTCAGCTTGTGTGAGGCAAAGAAAAGGAGATTGAATTTCCATTTCTAGTCAAAGAATTGCAACTTCTGAGAAGCCCTGCACATCACCAGACAGCCAGGAATTCGTCCGTGCAGAGCTGATGCAGCCCTGAACCCTGGACCACAGATTCCCAAGCTTTAGAAACTGCTACATCCTCTCCTCTGAGGATCTGTTATCACCGAGTCTTTCGAGTCTCCAGACTTCAGTCATGATCCAAGGGCTCATATACCCCGGAGAGACTCTGGGGGCGTGGTCCAGCCCCACTGTGACTATAACAGCCGACGGTCAGCAGTGGGGCCACAGGAAGGGGACAGGGAACGCCGGAGCTGGTCTCAAGGGTGCAGCCAGAAGATTCCTAAACTTTCTCTTAGTCTGCTCCACAACCAACTCTCTCTCTCTCTCTCTCTCTCTCTCTCTCTCTCTCTCTCTCTCTCTGTGTGTGTGTGAAAGGCCTCTGTCCCCGTTGTAACCTTGAGGCAGAGCCAAGGTTCCCGAGCATAGCCTCCCATCTCAGGCTCCCATACCAAGCCCTCTGCAGGTACGCTGTAGCCTTGGTTCCTCTCTGTCAGGATCCAGAGATACATGCTTCCCACAAAGGGTAGGGACAGGCTGAGGGCATTAGTGCAGCTGAACTCAGGTCCTCTTTATGTTCCTAACAGTTAATACAGTTGTTGTATTTAAACATAACAGCTTAAAATGTACCACATGCAAACATGATGATCTTCACCAAAAACTGTATTTTTAAAACAAGGAGAAACATGGGCTTGAGAGGCATGCCCTTGCAGTAGACATGCAAGGCACTAGGCATCGGCTACTCCTGTCTCATGAGTGTGACTTGGACTGTAGATTGGAAGCTTCTCCCCAGCCTCTGTGGCCTCTGCCAGGCTGCTCTGGCAGCTTCCGGCCATAGATTGCTTCCTCCCCCAACCTGTGGACCTCTCACAGGCTTCAGTCACTCATGCTGAGCCCGTGCATACTCAGCCCCAGGCCCAGGGCCCAGCTGGGGTGGCACAGCATAGCTTCTGTGCCTCAGGACTGCGAGCCTTGCTTCTCTGTCCTCCCGCAGACCTCTGCCTGGACCACATCTGCTCCTGAGAGGGCTGCAAACCACACGCTTTCTCGCACACCTCCCTAGGTGTAGGTATGGGAGCCACATGTGCCAAGTTCAGAGAAAGCTTGCTTGTTTCCCTCTACAGAGGAGTTGAAAGAATTTCAGTCATTCCCGGAAGTCCCGGTTTTCTCATGCCTGGTGCCCGCCAGCCCAGGCTGCCCGCCAGGTCGAAGCTAATCTGATCTGATCCATCCAAATCCAATTACGCTCTGCAAACTTGGGCTGAGTGTCTCCTCCGTGCTGGACCAGGCCGGGCGCAATGGGGAGACAAGGCCCTTAGCTGCCACATCGATCACCAGGTCCGCAACACAACTGCCACATGCTATTATGACTGTGGGCAGCTTACCTCACTTCTGAGCCCCAGCTCCACCTGATGGGCAGGATTAGACGGCCATGGGTCCTGCTTCCAAGGTGAGACAAGTGACGACCAAGCTGTGCTTGGACCTCAACCCAGGCAGGAGGGAGCCATGGAAGGCTCCAGAGGGATGACGTGCATGTGCCAGGGGGACCTCTGCCTGCTTTAGAGGGATAAGGATTCAAGCCAGGAACAAGGGGAAAGCTGTCACAGTACTTTGAGATGAATGAGGAAGCAGTTGGGAGGACAGAGACTTATTTGGGACATCTTTTATAGCCTCCTCCTAGAGTTTTCCGGAAGATGGGACGTGCGGACTGAAGCCCTTACCATATTCCATTTGCTCTTGACAGGATTGAGAAGGGGGCATGCCTGCTTTACAGACCACGCATGGAAGCGGGTCAGCATGGGGGAAGATGTGTCTGGCCACACCTGGCCCAGTGCCTCTTTCCGTGGCCTTGCCTGGATCCTTTGACAGGCACCATGGTGCTTTCCTACCAGGGCTTCCTCCCATAGGCCAGCTGTCGGTCTAGGAGACGGTCCCATGTGTGTGGAGCTATGACAGCCACATTAGTGTGGATGTCACCTTCCCTCAGCACAGGTCTGGCATCCTCGCCCAAGTCAGAGTTGGAATGTGTGCCTCCCGGGGGTCACTGCTATGACAACTTCATCAAAATATCACTCTCTGAGTCCTTGTCCTTCAAACACAGAGGAGAACAATGGCCCTGCTCCACCCCCCCCCCAACCCCCTCCAACTCGGAAGGCTGGGACCTTAGGGGGTTTCCATAGTCTAGAACTGCCCCAGCCTATCAGGGAAAAACAAACCTAGCTTATGTCCTTGGAAGAACCCCTGAGAAGCCACATGAAGGGAGGTGCAGACTGAGCTGGGGAAGAGAGTATGATAATGAGGATCCCTGGGGTAACTGCCGGGGGTCAAGTTTTGTGCCAACCTATAAATATGTCATCCTGTCAGTTCTCCAGGCCAACCTTAGAGGCACGCACAGGCCGGGGTACCACATGCCCTTCGGAGACAGGCGCACAGAGGCACGCACAGACCGGGGTACCACGTGCCCTTTGGAGACAGGCGCACAGAGGCACGCACAGGCCGGGGTACCACATGCCCTTCGGAGACAGGCGCACAGAGGCACGCACAGGCTGATAACTTGACTAGGGTGAAGGGCTGGACCACGGGACAACACAGAAGCCAAAAGAGATGGTATAGACGCTCTGGGCTGTCCAGCTCT